GAAAATATTGCAAAATTTTATCTCAAGTCATTAGAGAAGCTAAACGCATGCATTAAAATAAATTGATAGACCACCATTAATGATAAATAGTAACAGAGTAAATGATCCTAAACTTATAGCAAACTATTTTAATACCTACTTTTTAACGATTGTAGAAAGAATGAACAGCAGTGACACCATAACCCCAAAAACCGAAGATGCAATGAAGTTCTCGGCTAAGGCAATTCCTAATTCATTTCCAAATATTAATCTTATTCCTACCACACAAAATGAAATTGAAAGTATAATAACTTCTCTCAAGTCAAAAAATTCATGTGGTTATGAAGTAGTTAAATCTTGCATAGATTATATAAGTATTCCATTAAGTTATCTCTGTAATCATTGAATGGCTGTAGGAATATTTCCTGAAAGACTGAGGCAATGCCGCCACCTTAATTATCTTTCAAACGATTTGAATTGAGCGCGCTCTGTGAGCACTGACATCTCTGGTGGCGCCATACAAACAGTCTAGAGCCGTTATGGCCGCCTACGTTGTCGTAATATGTTTGTGGTGAAGGAAAATCTCATTGTAGGCATGTCTAGTCTAAGTTTTGAAGTTAACAGATTGCTTGGTAAGTGTAAGTTGGTGTTCGTTATTCTTAATACAAATAATAACATGTGAAAGTACAAATATGTTTATCTATTCCCCTGACATACAGAGAAATTCTGCCAAACGTGTTTTTGCAAAACTTTGTCAAATAATCGAACGTAGAGCAGAAATTATTACAAAATTCTCTGTGTTGTCTTAATGATGAATTACTCACTATGAGTCAGCGTTTAGCTATTGTAAACAGTGTTCATAAAGCAAGACAATTAAGTTGATGCGGTAGGCGGTAAGTGCAATTACCATTTCTCTGCTTATAAAAAACAGGCCTGATATCTGAGTCGTCTAGCAGTGACTGTTACTGAAGCAAAATGATTGCAGCTCAACACGAATTCACTAAATGCAGGAAAGTTGAAGATGTTACAGTTTCAACTTCTATCTGTGTACAAACCTTTACAATTATGAACAGCCAATATCTGACCAAAATTCATAAACTCAGCCAAGTCATCATTGGTGTTACATAGGATTATCGGAGATCGTTTTTATTTTTCAAGAAATCATAACAAATGGCTGAAGAAAATGATAAAATGCACAGATTTTGTTATCCCTAAACTGAGACCATCAAAAATGTTTTTTTCCAGCTGTATCGATCTTTTTGTGACGGTAGACTGCGTTCTTGAATGTCTTCACAGAACAGTGGCCTGGCAAAAGCGAAGTGTTACCAATGCATTGTTCAGCTTCATGGATGCTTTCAAGGACATAATCACTAAGACCACGGAGACTGGAATATACATTAACCTGGATGTTGGAGAAAGAGAACTGAACTGGCTCTGTGCTGCTTCCATTGGCAATCTTGAGTGCTAGCAATACTCAATGTTCTGCTTCCAGTACCACAGCAAGTGAGTGGCATCTCTTTCTGAAGTCCTGTCACACATAAAATGTTTTGTCAGCAGGATAAACTAACATACTCCATCTGCAGTACACCGCAGTACTTGGCCCCTAAAGCAATGAGGGGACAGGGCACAGCATGGTAATTATTCCATTCCATGAGTATGTAGAAATTTAAATGCTAAATATAGTGTGATATTCACCGCTTGTATTAAAGTACACAACAAAATTTGCAACAACAACTTTTGATAAGAAATGTAATTAAGCTTGCAGCAGTGAAATAACTACATACGAGAGTCATCAATCATAGGCGCGTCTACAACTGAAATTTTAAAAAATACCCCCATTAGCTCTTTTGCTTGTGTTGTCTGTCTGTCCATCAACATTGAAGATTCATTATATTTCTTAATAATGCGGACTCATTTGCTTATCATTATAAAGGAATATTTCTGCATATGTTTTAAAGAATACCATATGTTACATATCTAAGAGAGAAATACATTTGTTTATTGTTATGAAAACACGAATCTCTGTGCTTATTTCTATGCAACATAATTTATTCTTTCCATTATATTCTTAGTAATAATGGTGGTTAGTGAATGAGACTTCCTAATAGGAGGGGTGTGGACTATTTGCTGTCCTGGGCGGTAGTCTAGAGGGATGCTCTGGGGCAGGTCCTCTTGCTTGCATTGTAGCCTGCTCGGGCTGGAAGATGCAGCAATTTTGTGAGTTCTCATGCTGACCTTGACATTTTGCATTTAGCCTATTAACTGTTTCTAATACGCAATCTCTGTGCTTACAAATGCCCACATTTTCTTCCATTTGTTACTTCAGATCATAGAAAAAGTGTAATAAAATTGGTTGAAACTGTAAAAATAATTATGTACATTGTTAAGGGCATTTATAATTTCGTTTATGATGTGAACTGGACTGAGCTGGCTCAGGACGAGGTTTGCTTCACGGAACACAAAAGAGACAAATCTTAGGTTTCAACAGAAAGCTGGAATGTCTTGGCAGCTAAAATATAATAAACTTAAAAACTTTTTAAGTGCTGCATTTTTACTAACATCCTGTGTTGTGTATTTTTTTTTGCTGTGTTTAGTTTTTTTAAATTACTGCAGTTTTAATGCATGCATAATTATGTTCACCCTACCTTATCATTGTGAATGAGTGAGAAGGCTTACGTTTTCTCTTTTATTATCACTACAAATAGCACATTACCTCTGCCTCCTTGTGACAATTTGTCTGCCATGTTTACTATTGGCAACTGACAGACTTGTGTTCCAAATACAAAATATATCTTTCAGATGAGAGAGAGAAATATCGCTTCAATTAATCTGATAAGTCAGAGCAATGAGGAAATACTTTACCACTGGTGGTCTAGTGGTCAGAACACTAGCCTTGTAATCCTGGGGTCCCGGGTTCAATTCCCGGTGGTGCTCAGATTTATAACTTGTGTTGGGCAAGGCCGTGGTCTAGGCAACACAGAGTTTTCCTCCGTGGCATCCCAACAATTACTCCATTCACACACAGAAGAAGGCAATGGCAAACCACTTCTGGATCATCTGCCAAGAACGTATATGAACAGGTCCCAGTCCGAGAAAAGGATGGAAGGATCCTGTTCATATGGACCTGTCGTCAGACAGAACACTAAATAATAATAAAAAAAGCATACAAATAAGTATCAGCACGCAAAGTGTTCTGCCATGACTTACTGCCATACTGAATGTCACGTGCTCAGATGCAGTTGAACACCATTTAATAGTTCCACGAGCATCCACCATTCTCCTCTCGTACCCTCAACTAACACTTCCGTCTTGCTGATTTTGTTTTCCCATTTGCATAAAAATTTATATTCATATTTCCCAAAATTCTTTGCACGTACTATGATAGTATAATTCATTTCTGCAGTTCCCTAGTTTGCGTGATATTTCTAAGTGGTAAATTTTGAAGTGTAGCTTGCAAAGGCAATGAGTTCGTTGTGTGTTTCGTGGAAATGAGGCAGTCGGTCGAAAGAAGAAAGACAGGAACATTACATCAATAACCCCATCTTGCTTACAGGGATGCAAGGGAATTTAGAGGGGAGAATATTTCTTGTCTTAAGAAACATAAGACGAAGGAGCCAAATGCTAAATGTACTGTGTTGTAACATTTTTGTAATCGTGTACTCTAACCCGACAGACACGTACGACTTAATATGGAAGTTGTTTGTTCTCATGGGCACAGAAATTGATGTCTCACGGCTGAAACTAAACACAGTTCTGTGTGGTCTGTGGGCTCATTATGTTGCGGTACTGGGATTTTCTTGAAGATAATATTTTTCATTTGACTATGGAACTGTTGCACTGTTGATATGAGGAAACAGCTGTCTGATCATCCACATTTCATTTGTGAAATACTCTATGGAGATTAATATATGGGAGAGGGGTCTGTATTAATTTTTTTTTCAGACAAATGCAATTTGGGAATCTGTTCATCTAATATAATCCCAACTTTGCTTGAAGTTTAAATAGAATTTTATAAATGATCTAAAAATGTTTCACCACCAAAAAAATTTGTACATGACAATTTTAGGGCTCATTAACCCTTTAACAACTAGTGGAAACCATTTTAAGTTACTGCATTTTACACCCACATTGTATTTATGTTTTGTGTGATTCTCATAGTAAACAGCGATTATTTCCGTAAAAGTATTACCCAATCAGTTTTGTAATGAAGATGTGTTTTTGGGCTGTAAAGGCTGAATCTGTATACAGTTAAACCTCGGTTCACGAACAACGCAGGTTACGAACAAATTTTCCGAACACAAAGCGTCTCGAGTTACGAACACGCAAGCCGTCAACATCGTGGAGCGATAAGCTGGGAGTATCAGCGTCGGCAGTATTCGTAGAAGAATGATCCAGCGTGGGGCCAAAGAAAGACAATGATAGATGATAAGAAAGAAATCATAGCCAAACTTGAAAATGGTGTTCGTGTCTCTGATCTTGCTACTCAGTTTGGGATGGCAAAATCAACGATCTGTACTATTCTTAAAAATAGAGAGACGATCAAGAAAGCCGATGTTGCAAGAGGAATGACAGGTATTACTAAACAAAGATCACAGACGGTTGAAGGAGTGGAGAAATTGTTGCTAATTTGGATAAACGACAGGATGGCAGCTGGCAACAGTCATTCTGAGGGTATGATTTGTGAAAAAGCAAGGCGATTGCATGATGACCTGGTACGAGTGGTGATACTGATGTTTTCAAAGCTAGCAGAGGATGGTTTGAGAAATTTAAGAAAAGAAGTGGCTTACATAGTGTGGTTAGGCATGGGGAGTGCGAACCGAAAAGCTGCTGAGGAATTTGTTCAAGATTTTAGTGACTATGTAAAGGCTAATGGATTCATTCCCCAGCAAGTGTTTAACTGTGTTCTGGAAGAAAATGCCAAGGAGGACATGCATCACCCAAGCGGAGAAAGCAATGAAGGGTAGACTGACTCTTTTGCTATGTGGAAGGGAGGATGTTCCTACTTCTTTGATCCGTGAAAGTTGTGCAAAATTGGGTGAGGTGCAAAGTTTCGTGGAACGATAAAGCAGTAGCAAGCCACAGCATAAACATTTTCAATGATAATGCTATGCCGAGAATATTTTATTGAATTTGATCCCGAAACGTCGGTGTACTACGGTAAAAAATTAACGCGGCTGATTGCCCGAGAGTATTTTATTGAATTTGATCCCGAAACGTCGGTTTACTACGGAATATGTTCCCGAAACGTCGGTGTACTACGGTAAAAAATTAACGAGGCTGATTGCCCGAGAGTATTTTATTGAATTTTTGATCCCGAAACGTCGGTTTACTACGGAATATGTTCCCGAAACGTCGGTATACTACGGTAAAAAATTAACGCGGCTGATTGCACGAGAAGATTTTATTGAATTTGATCCCGAAACGTCGGTTTACTACGGAATATGTTCCCGAAACGTCGGTGTACTACGGTAAAAAATTAACGCGGCTGATTGCCCGAGAATATTTTATTGAATTTGATCCCGAAACGTCGGTTTACTACGGTAACCAGTTAAATTCTTCTGATTACTTATAATATTGTGAATATGGGCATTTGTCCGTGTGCGATTTTGTCATGGAACCGTTGTTGCTGATGGGAGGTTATCCCGTCCAAAGAATTTGGTTGGTTCGTTCTCTGGGGTTTGAGCCCAGAGAGGGAGGGACGCTTCGTCAAACCCTCAGTCTGTAAATATGGACCGACAATGGTCAGCCTTTACGTGAACTCATGCGTGCATAACAATGCAAGAAAAAGCATTGGAATTTCTAACCCACACCTGCAACAATCTTGGCTGAGCATGCCGTAAGGCTCTTTTCTCGTTTCTTATGCATGAAGTATAATAGCCTGAATGAACCTTATTGCACTCCACTCTTTTACCGAAGAAACTAATTGTTGCGTCATCTGTTTACTCGGCATTGTTGTGTTTCATTATCGCCATCAACAATCCGCTTTCGTCATTCTGTTAAGAGCTGAGCTTGGAATCGGTTGTAGAAAGAAGTGCGTCGTAGAGTAGACAATTTTGTGCTGTTAAAATCCTTTTACAATATCACAAGTTCTTTTCTTATATAAGAATTATTAAGAAATCTGTGAAACCGCCCTCCACTCTCTCCGTTATATTTTAGATTAGATCGATCATTGACGGTGGACGTCGTGGTCTCTTACAATTGAACAAATTTTGAGGTAAGGGATTCCTATTTATTATTATTGTTCATCACATTTAATGTTTCCGTCTGCATTTGTCAACTCGAGTAAGAGAATTAAACTTGTCTTCTTTTAACACAATTTCAAGTAATGACTTCTATTTGTTCACGGCATCATTGAAAGTGAAAGGATATTCCAGCTGCATTCTCCGGTGGATCAACCACGATCCGGACAACAGGAAAGGTCACACCGCCGGCCTTTTGCAGGGTGTCAGACTGGGACTACTTGACGAAATGTTTTTCAAGGAGCAGGTCAGTATGACCCTGAAATCGTGGATGTTTATCGGAAGTGAAACCCGCATTTTCAATTCCATATTTACACGTGTTCTTAACTAATTAATGCAAATCGTGAGCCTTTCGCTTAGTCACGTGTAAGCCCGTCTGTCTGTCTGTCTGTCCATTGGAATTTCCAGCTCAAGAACGTCTAAACGGATGTTCATCAGATTTAATACTGATGAGTTTTAACGGAATCTGTTAACACATTCCGATTCTGGTTAAAATCTCACAATAACAACGTGAAAAACACAATTTCTTGAATGCCTTATTCCGCGCAAAATTTCCTGCGTCAGAAATCCTCATATTAACTTAGTTGTCATGGTTACAGTAACTTCCTGTCGTATGCCGCTGGTAACACGCTCGCATACGCGCGTTTACGTGCAAAACAAATATTCGATTCGATCTCTTATGCAGAAATGTGGTTGGAGTTAATAATCGTCTTTTATTCATTGTCTGCGCTACAATCTTTGATTACAGTCTCAGCTTATATTAAGATCCATTACGCGTTTTAGTTCAACTACAGCATTCCACCGTCAACTGCATTCAAACGTCCACTCAGCTTGAATAGGAAAATCCTCCAACTGATAAATCACGTCTTCTGATGCAGCGTTCAACTTAACCAAAGTTTCTGACGCCATAAGAAACGTGTCTTAGCTGCTATAATAATTTCACGCAGCTCAGACGATATATATAGCCAACCATAGATCACTTAGCATGATAACCTTCAGCTGATTGACCACATAGGGATAACAGTCTTCGTTCTACATCCAAGAGTAAATTTCCCGAGTGGCTTCAAACTCATAGACAGCTTTAACATTCTAATATTTTAAACGTAATCTCACGAAGCAGCCATATTTCTTCTTCCATTCCACCATGTGCTTTAACCCAAGAGGAAAAAAGTTTCTATTCTAGGTCAAATGCCCTGTGATTTCAGCCACTCATCTCCTACGAATATTCGTGAAACAATCTCACGGATCCATGAAAATGTTATCTGCGTCAAATGTCTTTACAACTTATCGTTCCTATCTTACTACTTTCGAATACTAAAAGAGAACCACCTGACGATGACCAATTAAGGTCGAAACATGCAATGGCTCTTAATAGAATCGAGCCCATAACCCCAAGCTCTTGTGTTGACGGGCCTTCTTCCACCCAACCATCAACATGCAGAAGGTTGCCTCCCTTGACACTCGAAGCAACTAACTGACATAATTTTCTTTAGATGGTACGTAATTTTGACGATTAATTAAACTTATCTATTCAAAAAAGAATGTGGTGATCGCAGCTTCATCTCGCACGGGAGAGATGAGAAATAAATTACAATTTTGAATGTAACTCAAAATGCAACAATTACTGAAGTATTTAACTTTCGGTTGAAACACATTTCAATAGTTTTCTGTAAGATCGATTTAACCTTGATTTCGATTCTCTCCACAACCTGTGCATTTGTTATGAGCGTCGTTACATAAACCAAAAAACATGTTTACCTGTATATACCATTCTATTTCGGTGAGTTCCCAACCAAATTATGTGTGAATTTCTTGTCTCCTCTGCAATGGAACATGGAATCCCTTCCTAAAAGTTCATAAGGTCCACATTAAACTGTTCAACAGGTATCAAAGCACCCGTACGTGACTGAAAACAAGGCGTGCAAACCCATGATCTCGGAGACGCTCACATTCCTGGACGACGTGAAAAGGTTGTCGAAGGAAGACAAGGACATCATGACACCAAGGATTGCCCGCCCGCGAATCCCACAGGACGTTCTATTTGCTATTGGTGGGAGTTGCGACGGAGACCCTACAGATGTGATCGAAGCTTACGACGCACGAGCAGACCGGTGGAGTGTGGTGAGTCACAAGCATTTCTACTCTTACCGTGCCTTGTTAAATGACGCCTCCGAGAAAAACTACTTTTCCTTATTTTTACTAAGTAATTGTTTATTTAAGCTTCATCACAAGGACCTCTTAGCCTCTTTATTTTGTTTTCGCTAATTTCCATTGCAGGGAACACATTTTTTAAGAGAAGCTCCAAAGACATGAATTAAAAAAATAAACACATAAATTACTCAAATGCTGAGTGTCGTGTACAATGTAAGTTCTAATAGGAATCGACGACAGATCTGAAGTTTTCCTTAAGTACTGTTTACGATAAGCGTCCTACTTCAACTGTCATGGCAACCTGTCTGCTGATTTTAGACATCGTTGATCGTCAATGGATTTCAACGTAATAAATGAAGCACTGAGCAGTGTCGATATCGGCCATCTGTGTGGTCACGCCTCGTGAATTAGAAGGTTTTGGGGTGGGGTGGGGGACGTACTGCCTCCATCTCTGCGTCGATAAAACCCAAAACACCAACATCTGTCCTTTCCAAAGTACGAACCTGAAATGTCAGCTGTTGACGAGAGCACTGGTAACGTTTGAGCTTCTCTTCGGGTCTTCCTGTTTCCTCCGCCTCTCATAATCCCACCTTTGCTCAAAGTTAATTTCTCGTGGTCTTTGTCGAGTGCCACCCTCCACGGTGTAGCAATTTCGGTCCACTGTTGGGGGTTGCACCTCTGCTCCGGTGGTTGGTCGCTTGAACTCTAATGTAAGGACTTCACATCAGTAAATCGAATGACCCAAAGAAACATAAATCCATAACCTGTCGTTCTTGCAGGTGGAAGGGGTCGACTCGATCGGTCCGCGAGGTGAACATCGCACGGCAGTAGTCGGTTACGACATTTATGTCATCAGTGGTTGCAATGGCTACGTAGGTGTAAGCTCATGTCGCTGCTTCAACGCTGTTATGAAGACATGGCGCGAGGTGCCGCCTATGCATGAATACAGGTAAGATGCAGCTTGGTAACTAAGGAACTCCTTGGAACAGAGTCCTTCTTAAAAAGCTGATAGTCGCTCAGTTATTCAAGATATAAATCTGGGCAGGGGCTGTAAAATTGTACCACTCACATACAGGAGCATCGTGCAAAGTGTGAATATGTGGGAGGACTTTTGCGACAAAGTTGGTTTTAAGAATACGATTTGCTTGTTAATTCCTTTTAATTAAGATTTAACAATGACGAATGAACAATTGCATTCTGCGAGAGGAAATGAATCTCCATCAGCAATAAATGAACAAAGCAGAGCGTGTACTTTTATCATTTCAGATGGGGTTTAAGTGTGGCAGCTCTGCGAGGTTCAGTGTACGCCATGGGCGGTTTCGAGCATCGTGAAGATCACAGAACGGCTGAAAGATACGACTGCAAGACGAACCAGTGGTCTTTGATCACTCCCATGAACACAAAGCGACACAGTGCAAGTGCAGCTGTACTGAACGGTAGGTAAATGCTGTGAAACATAAATGTGTGAATTAGTGCAGAAGGCGAAGTGTCTGTCTGTCTGTCTGTCCGACCACGTGTAAGAATGCAGGAACGGTTGAAAGAATCGCAGGATTTGAGATTCTCACGGTGGCTAGTACGAAGATGGCTGTCGTTTGGCTTCTGCCGACGTTTCAGACGAACTTTATGCCTTCATCATCAAGGCATTCCTCCTCGCTCTTGATCTTAGTTTCCCTCATTCCACTGTCCCATATTCTTTTATTATATCTTCCTTTTATCTGTGCTACGGACTACGTTATTTCACAGACTGCAACGGCTTGAAGTTCTGAGTGCGTGATGGTTTCTTCTGCTCTCGTAAGCTGTCCCTCGACATCATCTTCTACCTTTTTAGTGTGCACTAGGAGTGAATTCAAACAACCATCAAACTGGATCTCATATAATACAGATGTTTTATGTTTTTGAGACAGTTAATAATCTCGTGTGAATAGCATATTGTATTGTAAATGTAGAGCACCACTTGGCAGCTCGTACTGTACATCTCCGACACCTAATTTAATAAAATTCGTTTCACAGAAGATGTAACTTACCGTCATTTCCATTATGCATTAATTTAAGCACTTTATGTTGTTTATATTAAATTTTATCAGTTACTCTCGATTCTTTTGGCAGGCTGACTGTCAGCATTCAAAGAAAGAAACAAATGAACAGAGACAGCCGTGTCTGTGCAGATTCTGTGACACGAAGGGGGACATTAATAGATTTACAAGTTTAAGTACGGATTGTCCCATGTCTGTGCTCTGCAAGGAGCAGTTTAATGCCTCTCCCTAAAACAAATATGTGTACATTTCGTGTCATATAGCTAATTTGTTTTTACAGACAAAATATACGTCGCTGGTGGATATTATGATTTCAATTATCTAAACTCGGTGGAAGTTTATGACCCGGACACCAACCGATGGACGTTCGTTGCACCGATGCTTTCTGAACGTGCACGTCTTTCTTGCGTCGAGTTCCACGGCTGTCTGTACGCCCTAGGTGAGAACTCTGGACATTCTGAGTGATGCTGCTCTGTCCTTCTGACAGAAATTGCTATTGCGAAATGTTTTCCTGGTTTTCTTGCAGTGACTGAGATTTTATGAACAGCATTTTTCTCCTGTCATTACAGAGTTAGTTTGCCAGTAATTTTAACCCCGATTCATGGTTTAGATTACAATCTCCACAAAGAAAACTTAACTAACAAAACATAATCTCTTGGTATCTTACCTAACGTAAGCCCCATTTTTTACACAGTCCCAGTTTTACAGGTAAATATTTTGTTCTTGTAGCAAGGAAATTTCAGTTTGCCGTGCTGTTTTCCCCAAAAAGCCGATGGTTTAAAGCAGTAACTTCGCAGTTTTAGCTTTACTTCACTGGTTTGTGTAATGCCGTTTTGAACAGTGCATCTTGTGTTGTTGTTGAACTCTATTTTCGCAATCAGTTTCATGAAGCAGAAAACAGATGTCAGGCGCAATTTCCTGATGCTACAACTACGAAAATAATATTTTAGCTATTTCATCCTTAATTTCGGTCCTGCTACTAATATTAACACTGCAACAGGGAATGAATTTTCTTCACTGTATTTCATTCGTTTGTTCCTTTTACGGATTTACAAATTTTAAGAGCGTAAAGTCCGTTCTGTAACACGGACGGAGTTTGAAACATTGAAGATACGAGAAATACAAACATCTAGAAAGTTATGATTGGTAATCTTGAAGGTAAGATATCACTTGTGATACACAGGCGTGAAAGGAAGGATAATATTAAAATGTTTTATGGAACTAGAGTATGTGGGAACGATTCAACTACAGGCTCTTGTGAATAAGGTAATGAATCTTGTGGCTCCAGAAAGGCCAAACATTTCGTGGCCATTTGACAGAGTAATGGATATCAAGAAGGGCCCCGCTGAATGGGGTTAGAATAAGTTCCCTTTGGCAGGTTTTTTATATGCTGTGACTTTTTACGGAATGTGTGTGTGTGTGCAGGAGGACGCAACTACACATCATCCGAGCTCAATACCGAAAAGTATGACCCTGCAGAAGACACGTGGACCGAGATCCCTGCCATGAACTTCTATGACTATGACTTAAACGCAGAAGTGATCGACGACACGATCTTCGTCATCGGTGGACATGATAAGAAGGACTTCTTCCACGTCGCATGTTTCAATGGCAAGGAAAATCAATGGTTTGTTTCTTTGTTTGTTTGATTCTTTGTTTGGTTGTTCAGGGCTGTATAATCACAAACTGTTACTTTCGAAAAGCTCTAGGAAGTGAATCATTTGCGGTCAAGTTATCCGCGATCTTGCGGATACTGCGCCGTGTAGTGTCGTAGAAACTGTCCGACGTTTCGGAGGTTCTTCCTGCTTACTCGGCCTTGAATACAACGCGCGAAAAATAGGCGAGTGGAGGAGGTAGAATGAAAGCAGGCAGGGCGACGCGGTCAAGTTGAATCCTTAAAGCGGAGGGCGAATGAATAGGAAATGCTAATCAGACGTAAACTATGACTGCATTAATAAGAAGCCCTTTGACTAAGTTTCTTTGATCAGTGGCACTCTCTTGGGCTGGAAGTGTCTGGCGTCCAGCACATCAGCATCGCCATAATCTTTGGCTTTCGTCAAAGTGTTAGGTCAGTTTCAGGTTTAATGACGCCTACCGACACATGTTCCCATTTTTGATGGAAGTTTGTTTGGAAATGGCTCTCTCTTGGCGTGTTTGACCATACAGTCTCCTGCCATCTGTTGATGGAGTGAGTAAGCAGCTCTAAAAACATCCCAGAAGACAAATTTCTTTATACTTGACTGTTGAAGAGCCAGAAATCCCACAGAAATTCATTTAATTTTGGTTTTTGTCTGTTTTACGTCTAGCAGAACCTCTCCGGAAATATTTTTGGTGGGACAAAAATATTTTGAAAATGTATTGCTAAAAGAGGGAAATATTGTCATGGGCGCATGTCTCAAACAAGACGCGCTTATCTCTCAAAAAAAGCGTGTGGTTAAATTTATTATTCTGACCGAAGTTAATGGCTTAATGAAGTGTACGAAACGTAGTTAGTGCAGAATACAAGTCATTTGACAGCATTTTAAAATAGTGGTAACCTCTCCGTCCACTCCGATGTAATAAAATGTATTACGTTATAATAGGACGTTGGCCGGGGTTCTGTGTGCATGAGTGAAAGAAAGATCACGTGGGGACTGTTCTGAAATATGGTGAGGCAATCGTATATCGAATTCTGATTGGGGGAATTTTTGTTAAGGCTGTCTGGAAACAAAATTCAAGCAACAACACTTCGGTGGAAGCTGTGCCCTTAGCTTCAAGCAGTTTCCCATTCAACCCAAAGACAGAGCCAACCCATTAGGGCAAAACATTTTACGACTCACAAAGATATTTTTTAGAAAATTGTTAATTTCTTTAATGCACTGAAATTCAAATAACATTTATGTTAAATTTATATTATATAAATTATTTATGGTAGAAGAGGCTTTCCTTCGTGAGTTACATCATCGCATGTAGAGCTACATATTTTCTGTAACTCTGTCCGCGAAATGTAAAAATTGTCGAGTGTACATAATACCGATGGATGATGGAAGAGGTTTGTTTTCACTTTTAATATTTCAAATTGCAGGGACAAGGTGACAAACATGAATGTTAGTAGATCCGGGATGTCGACTTGTGTCATCGAGAACCTACCGAATACAAGCGACTACTCCTACAAACACAATGACAAATTGATGGAGGAGAAACGCAAGAAAAGGAAGAGGAGAAATGGAAAAAGAATGTTGGATTTAGAAAATCAGTAGTTTGCAGTTGATTACAACCACGGCGAACACATTAATTTTAATTACTTTCCTTATGAAAATAATGTAGAAATCTGAGAATTGATGTAGGATCTACAAAAAAATAGAAAGAGAAATATTGTTTGCAGCAAACACGGAAAAATTATTTCATCTCGTTATTTTCTGCTCAAGAAGTTTTATTGAAATTATTTGTTTTACAGACGTTCAATTTTATCTAAATTATTACCATCCATCAACACACAGCAGTTTCACCTTGCATCTTGTATTAAATAAATCCACTTGTAGCGACATGTTTCGAGTTACGAAACTGTCTTCATGGCATTAGGGGAAGATTCATGAACATCGTTTAGAAAAACGTCATTACAAAGGCAACACGCTGAGAATTTTGTATTGTCTAGAGCAACGCGCTCCTTCCAGGGCGCTGTCTCTATCTGATATTTTACTTCTTTACGTCGCTGTTCAGAGGCAAACTGTTCTTGGTCAGTCAACTATCTACGTCCAACCCCACCCTTGAAAGTATTTTTTTTTTCTTAACGTAAATACGTCTATATTTTAGGGTCAAGTGTCATTCCGCAAAAAAGTGAAAGGAAAATGTGTAAGATGCGTTCAAATAATGTTTTATTTACTTCATAGTCGATGAATGAGGTTGAAAACTAATGTAGAAAACTTCTTGTTGGTCTTCCGGTTCTTAATGCCATGCGTGGACGTTTAGGTAGATACCACAGTTTTGGAGAAACATACAGTCTCCTTCTTCAGGCTCTGAAGGGTATACTCTCCTGTCACCTATAGCTGCTGCCCTATGTACCTTAGGGACAAGGTCTGTCTCGGGTACTTGGAAGTGGTGAAGAGATGGGATAATAATAATAATACAGAGGAGAGAAACTATCATTCGTAGAGGATGGCTGTCATGTGGGTTGTAGCGCCGCGCAGTCCGGTAGAAGTTCACCAAAGTATCAGAGGTCAATGCTGTTTCCACAATCAGGGCGTTGATGGAAACTTCTGTAAACGTCTACCAGACTACACTGTGCTTCAACCCAAAGACAGCCATCTTCGAATTCACCGTCGTAAAAACCTCAAATTATATTTAACATCGACAATGCAAATTGTATACAATTTAAGTAGTTTGTTAAAAGCTAGTAACACATTTTCGCTTGAACTTCATGTTAATTAATCAATACGATATGAAGACCAACAAAATAAAGTTGACGTGCTTTGTTTTCGTTCAAGCTTATTTAAACCAGCAGTGGAAAGCTCATTGAATTTTTAAAACCAAAAGTTAGTGGCAATGCAATGCAGAATACGGCACGTAACAGCACGACGTTCCAACTTGAACAGCATTGCTTTAGAGCGAGTCTTTGAGGGCTGATGTAATTGCTTGGAACAATTTATTGCTTTCTTGAAACAGTGCCCACATGAATTTGTGTTGACATTGTGGCAACCACAATATTGCATCTTCTGTTTTCCTTTTGGTAACTAAAATTTTAATGGAGTAAGAAAAGTGTCTCTTTTGCATAGCCTGTACTTACTACATGCCCCATTCTCTTAACTACGAGGCGCGTCCCAAAAGTAAGTTTCCCTGGGGCCGTTTACAGAAACAAAACACAATTTCATGGAAATATTTATTGCAACAGATACAGCAAGTGTCCAGCTATTTTTCAACATATTCGCCACCGGAATTGAGACATTTGTCATACCGTGGGACCAACTTTTGAATACCTGTGTCGTAGAAGTCTGCCGCCTGGGATTGGAACCACTGTGTGACAACCATCTCCGCCTCTCTTTCATTCTCAAAACGCTGACGCTGACGCTGACCGGACAGGAATTTCTTGAGGTGTAGGAAAAGATGGAAATCACTGGGAGCGAGGTCCGGGCTGTAGGGTGAATGATTAAACACCTCCCAGCTGAACTCCTGCAGGAGACTTGCTGTCTGTCGAGCCGTGTGCGGCCTAGCGTTATCACTGACCGCACTTCACAGTCGGCGGGGGCTGGAATAAGAACCTCCATCTTCAACAGCTGCAACGATGCTACTGTGAGAACGCGGGAAGTGCCGTTAGTGCATGCGCCATGCTACGTCATTGCTCTATCACGTACGCACAGTCGCTTCGCGCAATATAAGGTTTGCTAGCTGTGGGACGAGTGGGAAACTTACTTTTGGGACGCGCCTCGTACATGACTATTATGTCGGCAGAAACAAGAAACTCTGGGTCATTTCTAGATAGTGGTTACACTAATTATAGCATTCATCACGTGAATACGTTCCACTACAACAGATTCTGAATTTGTTAAATTTAAATTTGTCAAACCTCAAACTTTCCCTGTCAGTAAGTCTGTAATTGTATCGCACACAACGTTTGTAGCCACTGTTTCATTGGCTGTCAGCATCAAATGGAAAGCGAAATACGGATATCTGTCGGCAGCCATGTTGTTGCTTTATGTTCAGCATAATGCTTCTAAACTTACTGAGGCCTATAGCCACGCAAAAATTCGTATTTTTTTTGTACCAAGTATTATTCATTATTCCCTCGTCCAAGGAGTCCTACCAAATGTCCATATATGAAGCCAACTAAAAATTTGGGGACCCGTGAAGGTTACCGGAAAATGTAGAAGTAATTAACATTACTGTCAAGTGGAAAAGCGTTTGTGGACTTCGATTTCGATAATGTCACATGTTCAGGGAATGCCACGCAGTATTTGTTTCGTTAATGGAATTTCCAGTTCAGATGTTGTCAAAAGCTTCTAATGAAAATTTCGCGCAATTCCTTTCCCCTCATATCACTCCTTGTAAGATGTTATCATACCATAAACTTGAAAACAAATGTCTCAGATCATTCGGATATACACACGAAGACCAGCTGCGGGTTAACAAACTTCTCCAATATAATTCCCATATAGACGTCCTATTTACGTCATACAATTAAAACAATATTCAACCCCGGTTACCACTTAAATTACATAACATTTATTTTTTAAAAATCTAAATTATATTAAAAGGAAGGTTCAAAGAACTTCAAGTACTAAGGAGTTAGGTGGGGATAATTACTTGTACAAATTAGGGTGAACTTGCAAACAGCCTGAGTACAAAATCACGAGGTCTAAACATCGCATACCCGGTCTTATTACATTTACCGGGATTGGAATATCCTTATGAAATTGTCAAGGACTTTAAAAATACTCCTCCCTTTGTGTGTTCTGGGTAATTATTTACATCCGAGAATTTCATCAGCAATAGCCCCTTTCTTAACATCAAAGCAGCTCGACTTCATCAGAAACATCCATCGATTCATCAATTTGAATTGCAAATCTTTTGCCAATTTTAATGTTCTCTGTAATTTGCTCAACAACATCTTGTGCCATGTCATGAATTCTGCGACCTGCAGTTGTGTCAAAACTCGGAATTGTTTTTATTGCATTTGCAGATTTTTTGTCTGTCATTTTATCCGCTAAAATTAAGCACCAGGCAGAATAAGAGACTGTACTGAGGTATGATGATTTATTTTTTGCAGTAAGCAATGCTAATCCGTACGATGTCTCTAATGCCACCTTTGATGACTGTGTAAAATTATGTATTACATTTGAAATTTTACGTACATTTTCTGCTTTGCGTTTGAAAAATTCAGCTGGCTTATCCTTAAACTCACCGTGATTGGTCACTAAGTGCCGATGAAGTAGAGATGGTTTCATAGAGTTTTTCGATAGAATTTGGTTGAAAATCACGCAGAGTGGAAGAGGTGGGTCACACAGATTTGAAACAAATCCATATTTAATGTAGGATTACTTGTAGATTGTTGAACACTGCTCACACTAACATCACAGGTTGGAACAGAAACTGTCGCACCTTTCAGTGTTTGTGACTCAACACTATCGTCATTTTCACTTTTTTCATCGATTTCACGCTTACTTTTTATAATAAATTTATCCATGTTGCAATACGGAAAATGGAAATAATGATTACTGCCGTGGTTTCAAGAAGGAACTGAGTGGATGATGACTGATATGCACTTATAATTGACCCGCGTTTTAACGAGAAGTAAACAAACCGAAACTGCATTTTTCGAAAATTTTGAAAAAATTTCACCCCACCTGATGCCATGCAGGACAAATCGCCGTCGGACTGTGTCTGATGTACTGTGTTTCTGACGAACGCGGTCTGGAAAGTAAGAGACCGTGTGAGGCACAGACCGCTTTCGTCAGAGACAGAGTACATCAGACACAGTCCGACGGCGATCTGTCCTGCATGGCATTAGGTGGGGTGAAGTTGGAAAGAAATTTTGAATTTTTTCAAAATTTTCGAAAAATTAAAAAACGCTGGAAATTGTCAACAAAGCGCACAAAACTAAGAATATATGAAAAATTTCAACTTCTAAATTTGCGCGTTTCAGACACTTTGCAGAATTTTCTGATTTTTCGAAAATTTAGGGTAATTGCGAGATTTTTTTCCAATTTCGACCTAACCGATCCCTATCAGAACCAGTCTCTGCTAGAGCCGGTCTCTGACACTCTCTACCTCACAGTCTCAGCTGGAACCGGTGCGGTGTGTGCCTCGTCGATGTCTGCTCTACATGGTGTGTGATTCACCGTGTCTCTGCTTTACTCCGTCTCCTCACTCATTCTCTGCCTCACGTGCCTCTGCTTGCCTCGGTCTCTGTCTCACCCTGTCTTTGTTTGACACTTTCTTTGACCCGCCAGGTCTCTGCCTGACACTGTCTCTTTCTCTCACAAGTCTCTGCATGAGGCGGTCTGTGCCTCACCCGGTCTGTCGAACCAGGTCTTTGTACAGACGGCCTGGCACATGTAGGATGATACAGTGGACGTTTCGTTTAATGGCGATCGCGGTAGAGAACTCGGACATTTCAGACAGTCTGCGGTACACGCCGGATCATGCAGATATCGGTTCTGGCAGGGATCGTAAGGGGATAATTGCGAGATTTTTTTCCAATTTTAAAAAATTTCAATATTTTTTGGTTTTGTGCGCTTTTCAGACAATTTTCAGCGTTTTTTGATTTTTCTAAAATTTTGAAATTTTTTTTCAAAACTCTCACCAAGAGATGCATGCCAACCTCGGCGAATGCCTTACCATGTCTCTGCCGGACTCGGCCTTGATACTTTCTGATTGCTGACTGCCTCGTTTTCTGCACAACCGAACTATGCAGGGCTCGATGTGTGGCCGACCGTGTCCCTGCCAGTCTCGGTATCTCTTACGTGTTGCATCCCGCACCTCGGCTTATAGAAGACGGCACGTAAGAGACCGTGTGAGGCACAGACCGCTTTCGTCAGAGACAGAGTACATCAGACACAGTCCGACGGCGATCTGAGCCTGCATGGCATCAGTTTGGGTGTAAAATGGAAAGAAATTTTAAAAAATTTCAAAATTTTTGAAAAATCAAAAAACGCTGGAAATTGTCCAAAAAGCGCAAAAACCCAAACTGTTGAAAAATTCTACTTTCAATTTTTTTAAAAAATTTCAATTACGTAGCAGATTCATGCGTAACGATGACCCAATCTAACTCACTATAAATAAGTATCATGTAACGAAGAAATCGGAATAAACATACGTGAATGATAGTACGTCATTTATTAATATAAATCGCCTCACAAAAAAACTGAACATAAATCTCTGGTACATTAATTGCAATGCTTGGTGGGCGCGGAATTCGTGGCGCACGTCAAACTTGTGGTAACATATTGGTGGCCTATGTCAAATGTCAACAAAATATATCGAAAATATTGCAACACATTTACCCGAGGACACGACGTACATACACAAAGACGCAGTCTATCGGAAAAATACGGAACCAAAGATAAGACGTGCCATCTGTGAAGACCTCAATGGAAAGAAATCAATACTTTCGAATGGCATCGAGGACCAATCAGAAGTCAGTCAGTACAGATTCTGTCTTGAAACAGTCGGATGGTCCCGATTGAATAGTCGTCATTAAACTACCGTTGGAATTATTTGATTTCGGTCGGTCAGTACCAACGTAATTTTTTGCTTTAGAAATAGAGTTCTTCGGGATCATTAACAAGATTAATCACCACCGTTCAATCAGATATTAACGGGTGCTACGTACAGTGAATCTCAGTGTAAGGATGTCTTCACGGTGACGTGTGAGAATAGAAACAAGTGAAACACCAATCCAACATAACATGCAAGAATATGTGCGCTTCGCCACATTGAGACATACGACTTCAGTGAAAGGACATTTGCATGCCATGTGTACTCAGTAAAGATGTTTGTTCGAGTTAGTAAGACGTAAATTATATACAGACATCGCGTATCTGCAGAAGCTGGACCTATGTAATTTGAGAACATTTATTCTTTATAACGATGACTGGGGTCACTGTAGTAATTACATGTACTGTAATATAAAATTAATAACCTACGATATGCAGACGACGCTGTACTCATGGAAGGGCTCCAGCTTATCCTCGATCGAGTGGTAAGTTCTTGCAACAGATTTGGTCTCTAACTTAACATCAAGAAGACTGAACTCATTATTGCGATGCGGAGCGAGGACTGGGAGACAAGATCCCGAATTGAACATTCATACTCGTGAAGAAAGTTTTGTGTGGACACGACGTAAATGCCGATTTGAGAATGAGAATGGTCCGCTGCTGTTTTCTCTGACTCTTACAAGACGCTACCTTGAAGAGACTCGAAGCTTTTGAAATGTGGGTCTGCAGACGCAAGCTGGGGATAAGTTGGATGGATCGAGTTATTATTCGGACATGTAATGAGACATCCAGAAACATCTGCATCTGGTAATTGAGGGAACAAGAAGAACGTCTTGGCGGGAAAACCTGAGACAGTGGCTCGGACAGACTTCAAGCGCGGCGCCCTTCAGAGCTGCTGTCAATAAATCGATCACAGCCAACATTCGTTGAAGAAGAAGAACCTTAAACTTCAACACCTATATTCAACTATAAATCATAAAGTTCTCAAATGTACCACAATTACGCCACAACCTCCAAACACTCACTACACACAGGGCATTCAACTTACCAACTCTCACTTACTTACTGCTTACGTACAGTCAGAAGATTCATTTAAAGTTTCACAGATCCACACAGAACAAGAAAAAACTCATCTTCCTAAAACGGGAATAATCATAGCAACGAATTCACAATCTAAAATCAAAGGAAGTTATTTCATCATTCACATACGTGTATTTCCATATGATATTCCAAAAAAAGTTACACACAAACAATACTCTTAAGACACAGACGTCTTCACAATGACCTATACATTTTATATGCTACAATAAAAATATGACAAGGCTGGTCTAAGATTTTCTATAAGATCAATTATAAATCAAAATATTTATTCATTATAAATCAATAAAAATTAAAATCTCATCCATAATGAACATGTGTAAAACCGATCTTTGAGAAGTTAATTCTTCGTGGATAATTTGAATCAGCTTTGAACAGGTATTAACGACTTCATAACAAAAATATATTCATGGCTCCGTAAAGATACTCTAGTCAGGGCGAATCTGTGCATTTTGCCAATGTCCCTAGCTTCAAGGTAGAAATAAAACAAATTCAAATACTACGTCCACCAAGACATTACACACTCACAAACTGAGACTATTATGAGACTGGAATGTGTTTGTACTATGGACAGAATGAACTCCTTCATCTGCGACCCCCTCGGCTCTTAGTTCTGACGAATTTCGAGAGCACAGATTCGCTCTGGAGTATATGAAATATGACTCAGAAATCAAAAGTTGGGGTTAATGAATACCTCAGACTTAAAAAACCATAAGGAATACCAATTTATATAACTGAAAGCTGATAATTTACACTACATATTGTCAAATTTCTCCGATACGCGTCTCAATTTATCAATTCTCGTTTGTACCTTACAGTGTCATGAACCTAAAATTGTTATTATGTCTTCCTACCATATCAAAACATATTCAAATAGACTGATCAATAACTTTCCATAAACTTTATAAGCTGCACTACACAATATTTAATGAAGTAAAAATCTTCTGGACACTTGCACGTCACATGATTCCGATTTCTGCATCGTGGAGCTGCATTGCCAATGTTTCAAAGATCCCTACCGCCTCCATTTTCATCACAGAGTAGCAGATGTTGGCAACAAATCCTACATTTCACGGTGCCATCACCCATCCACCGCACGATCCAAATTACGACTGAAATTCCATAAAAACTTGAAAATTCCGAAACTCGCATCTTGATCTCGAACAGCTTTAATAATAATCACAAGGTCTCGCTGATTTTCATTTGTTTCGGGAATGTCGCACCTTTGTACATTTCACAATACTTTTTGCCAGATTCCTGTTGAGCAAATTCCAAGCATTGTTTGAAAACACTTCAGTTCTAAAAATGTGTCACAGTCAACAACATTTGTGGCGTCGACTGTTATCTGGGTCAACAGATCTTTTAACCTGAAATAAAAAATCGATAATCATTTGCGCATTAAACTTTTCCGAGCCAACAAGACGGCTCAACCACTTGCCTTGAATAACCCTGGAAATCATTTTCGTAAACTCCTTCCAGCACTGCCACAGTAACGCTCTGTTTCCCTTGAATACAGCAAAAATTAAAAGAATTCCATTCAAATTTCAGTTTTGGGAACATCAAATATCTTCCATACTCTAACACTGGTTAAGTTTAAGTAATTTGGCATTTACGTACACATTAAACAGACAAACGTAAATATTCAGGGTCCCAAAAACGTCATGGTCCATAGTTCAACGTAACGCCAGCCCCTCAAGGGCTCTGCCCCGCTCAGTCGTTTAGTGAATTCGTGATTTATGACACAGAAAATTTTCAAAGAATGAAAAGGAACTGCAGTGCCTCGTATTTTGTCTTCTCGTTTTTGATGCTAACTGCCAAATCAGAGAAGAAATCAAAAATTATTTTTTTCAAAATATGACGCAAAATGCCCAAAATTATGGGCATATCTGGGGGTAGTCGAGGAAGCTCACCTCACCTTGAGTTCAGTAGGCCTCATCTTTCTCCTCGTGCCGAAGTCTCTTCACGTACAGTCGATGCATGTACCAGGTGCCACCGGCAGCCACCAACAGAAAGGCAAATCCCACGGCCACACCCACGGCAACTGCGCGTATCTGCCGGTAGCCAGGAATGTGCAGCGCGTACTGGGAACTCTTTGCTTCGTAGTCATTGTGCGACACTGCCAGCACCTCGAAGAAGTACGTCTTGTCCTCTTCCAGGCTTGGCACTACAGTAAGGAGGAGGTTAAATTTCCCTTTCAAGCTTATTTTCGTTGTACGAGAATATTTCAACAGCAACTCATCAAGACTTGAATAAGAAGACACGGAAGACATTCTGAGAAAATGAGGCTCGGGTTTCTGAACAAGATATCTCATTCTCAACACGGAAAATGTCAATTACAACATTACTCGCAGAGACTGCAATTTATCACTACAAACTTTAACTCTCTCAGTTGGTAATAATTTTCATTTATTATTTAGTGTTCTGTCTGTCGACAGGTCCATATGAACAGGATCCTTCCATCCTTTTCTCTTCTCGGACTGGGACCTGTTCATATACGTTCTTGGCAGATGATCCAGAAGTGGTTTGCCATTGCCTTCTTCTGTGTGTGAATGGAGTAATTGCTGGGATGCCACGGAGGAAAACTCCGTGTTGCCTAGACCACGGCCTTGCCCAACACAAGTTATAAATTCGAACCCGAGACCCCAGGATTACAAGGCCAGCGTTCTAACCGCTAGACCACCCACATGACTAAATCATAATCCAGATCACCACAAATCAGAATTACCAACTTAATTGCAGTGTGAGATTCTAAAGATACTTCTAGTCACTTAATTAGGAGGTACTAATCCTTCTTATCCCTAAGAATGGTTCGTAATCAGATCTTCAATAAAGAAATGTTGGAGAGACAGAATGAAGGCCTCACTCCCACGTGCAACAACTGAGTGACCGAAAGACCTGAACACAACTTCACCTAGGAATGAGGTGTCCTGGGTTTCCGCACTGCTGCAGATGTATTCTCTGGAGGCGTGGGTCCACTGGACTCTGTATGCCCGGAGTTCATTGCCGCCAAACTCCGGAGGCTGCCACGTGACTAGATACCCATCCACTACCAGCCTCACAGACACATTGCGGGGTGGACCAATCTGTTGGAACTGACCTGGAACAGTCACGTGACGCTCCAGAACTAAATTTAGAAGAAATTGATGATTTGACGGAATTTCTGGAACTGGCGCAGAAACGCAGAATGAAATGAGCTCGATATGTCAGGTCAATTACGTGATCTGCAAAACTGGAAAGGATTTGCTTGGAAATCTTTTCATCTCCCGGATCTCATCTAGAAAGTTTCAGTGCCTTCTGGCAGTTACCAAGACATAAAAGACCATGTTTTAACACCACAAAAAGTATGAGTTAAAACAAGCAACTAGGTCATTCCCTGTAGCTCTGAGGGACACAACCCACGAAAAGATTGGCTTCAGCTACAAATTCGCATTACTTACCCAATGGTGTCGATTCATACGTCGAGGTGTTCGATGCTCTCGATCCTGAAATAACAAAACCACTCAAATCAGTGGTGTTTAATAGAACATATACAGGGTGAGTCAGAAGTTTGATTACAAACTTCGTGTGCGTGTTCCGGGATCAAAAATATGAAAAAATGTTCCTATGAACATGGGATCGCAGATGTTTCATTTTCGAAATAATAGCCAAAAATAATTTTCATTAAATTGTCTTTATCTCAAAGTGAATCCAGCTTCCAGCAAAGATTTTCAGTTAATGTTTGGGCAGGAATTGTTGGCGACATGCTTCGATCGCGTCTAAGAGGACCTTCTTAAGTAGACACTTCACGTCTCCTTGAAGATGTACAACTGAATACAAGAAACCAAATGTGGTTTATGCACTTCCCCCATCGCGTCAGAGATCGTCTCAATGAACAGAACCCTCAGCGAGGGATTGGGCGTGGTGGCCACCGAGGTCTCCGGACCTCACTCCATTGGACTTTTATCTGTGAGGTCACTTGAAGTCCGTCGTAAATGCAACGCCCATAAACAATGAAGACGACCAATGGGAACGCGTGCAGATGATTCGAGGAAACCCTGGAGTGTACGAACGAATTCGTCAGTCGTGTGTACGTCGTGCTCGTGCGTGTGTGGAGAACGGAGGAACAACCTTTGAGCATTTGTTATAAAGAAACATCCCTGTCCTTATACTTGGCAATAAAGACGTATATTGAAAATTATTTTTGGCTATTATTTCGAAAATTAAACATTTGCGATCCCATGTTCATAGGAACAATTTTTCTTATTTTTGATCCTGGAACACGCACGCGAAGTTTGTAAACATACTTCTGACTCACCCTGTATATACTAGCCTAGAATTAAAACAAAATATCGTATAGCTGGAAGACATTTGTAAGCAGGGACTGTGACACTGAGATTGAAACCACATGTGACAATCCTTGCTACTCTTACCATCCACGTTCTGTCACAGATCATAAGCCAGAAGATCTGAATGCAATGTTACAAAATTCACCTCAGCAAACTTCAAAGGCTCATTCAGGATAATTAACCTAACCCAAGCGCGATTTAAACCAAGAGGAGGTACCCCGAGCGGGCGCACCTTTGGTGTGGATGCGGATGGCCTTGCTGAACATGCCGTCGCCATGTCTGTCCTGGCTCAGCACCATAAACTCGTACAGTCGCCCTGGGCTCAGGTTCAAGAGAGTCTTTTCGTTCATGCCGTGGTTCGGGACCTTCGTGGTTCGCCATTCCGGAGTGTCTGCAGCGCGGTACCTGACACCAGACAGCCACTCTCAAGATTCCGGTCACTCGGTTTCACAACCACGTAAGGAATTAACCAACTAATTACTCAACAACTTACTAAAAGCAAATTTTCAAAGACACTACTCGGGATTACTATGTCCATCGTCAGTTCCCTTTCAAATTGACTAATTAACATTCTAACAAATGAAATACACTGCTGATTCAATTGTATTGAGAATTTGACCTCCAAGGGGCCAATTTTACTACAATTTCATCCATTTTAATAACAAACAATTAAGTTGTGTTCCAATTTCCATTAATACAATTCCTGTGCTGTGATGTTACGTAAAACACCTGGAAAACGCTGTCGTCGGATCTACCAATTACAAAGCCCATCGAGAAACTCTCTGGTCTCGTGGAACTGAAGCGTCTGTAAGCAGAAGTAATGTCACTTTACCACGAAGTGATCAGTCCGAAACATCCTCTGAAATATTTTCCTCCCAATGAAGTCACTCACGTCAAATACTCACCAGATGCTGTACTCCACCTTGGGACGCTCAAAACCCGGAACCCACTTAAGCGTGACAGAGTTCTCGGTGCTGGAGACCGAGAGGTTGTACGGGGCACGCGGAGCCACGTTGTCAATCATGATCTCAGTCTCGGAGGAAATGGTGGCGGCCTCGTTAGACGCAACGCACTGGTACAGCCCCCGGTCACTGTCCTTGAGGTTTCTGATGGTCAGGTTGCCATTCTGCATTTTTATTCTGTCCAGTGGCAGTGTCAGACTGTCTTTCTGCGAAGACAACGATCAATGCTCACATTCCATTGCTTTCTGTTCTATTTCTATCAGTAGCTTAACCCAGTAGCGGGTCATCGCCGCCTCCTTTCGGAGGTTTCTCGGTCCTGAAGCGAGCATTTATGAGTACCGAGTGACAAACCCACCGACTCTGCACAATTTCTACTAAATCCTGATTTGACTGCCAGAGCCATCTAGCAGTGAATCAGGAGAGACTTGGGCGAGAAATGGCCGCTGAATTTTGCTTACGAAACATCTCGTTCATGCTTTTCCGTGCCCTAAATCTACGACATGGGACCGCCAACTTTATTTCCCCTCCCTTAGGAAGTTATCACCCTTAAAAATCCATCGAGACCTCGGCCGGGTTTGAACCCGTGAGCACGATAACCACTAGTCCACCGAGGGCGACAAAATATTCCTTTAATGAAATGGAAATATTAGAGAAATAATCTGAAATATTTTCCAAGTATTATGACTGGACCAATATCACAGTGCGATAACTGGAAAACGTGACTGATGCTGGAAAAAGATAATGGTTCCATGTATGAGCAATTTATTCAAAAGTAGTTTCCTCCTGAAGGTAAATCCTACATTGCCGCCGTTTGAGAACGTAGTGTGAGCTGAAGTGGACGTCTCTCTTGTGCGTGTGTTGTGAAACAAGAATGGAACATCAAATTTTGTGTTCTGTGGGGCAAAAGTGCCACTGAAACGTTTCGAATGATGAAGCAAGTGGACGGACGGAGATAACTGTCTGTCTCGTACACGTGTTTTTGAGTGGCCCAGCGAAAACGATTCGAACGCCAGAGTTGATTGAAAAGACGCGGGATATAATCACCAACGACCGACGTGCAACGCTTCGAATGATTTCAGAAGATCTGTGCGTTAATAAGGAAACAATTCGAGAAATAATAACTCGGGATTTGAAAAAAAACAACTAAGGTTTGTTCCACATTCATTAACAGACGATCAAACAACAGCTCCGAGTTGAACTCTGCAGGGAACTCACTGATGCCACTGGAAACAAACGCAACTTCCTGAAGGGTGACGAGACGTGGCGTTTCCAGTTCGACCCCGGAACAAACCGACAGAGTGGACGTCGGCAAACTCTCCCCAAGCCAAGAAAGTTCGAAAATCAAAATAAATGATAATCATTTTCTACGATAGCGAGGAAATTGTGCACGAAAAGTTCGTACCCAGTGGCCAGACAGTCACTGCTGCCTACGTCCTCAGTATCGAGAAGACGACGGTTGCTTTCTGTTGCCTGACAACGCGCCAAGCCACAAGACTCTGGCACGTGGGCAAATGCTTACCCTCAACCAAGCGATTTTGGGCTTGTGGTTGTCGTTGCCATCCACAGCGTCGCAAGGAATCTCGAGCGTCTCTCCCGGTTTTCCCAGGTACAGATTGTGGGGCACGATTGTGAACATAGGAGGACGCTGCACGATGACGTTCATGGGGGGCGAGGGCCCCTCGGTACCCAGGCTGTTCATTGGCGTGCATGTGTAGCGACCGCTGTGCGACTCGTTCACCTGCGATTAGACACACGGAAATGCTCAGTCCCTTTCTATCTCACTTCATCTGTTCCCAAAATTACGGAAGACTCGAAAATGTCGTCGTAAAACAGGTCCTGGCACGATGGAACTGACTGCAGACATGCATGAACAGAACGTTACCATCGATACAGCGGGCAGGCAACCTATATCAGAGAGAGAGAGGGAGACCGACTGCTCCGAAACGTCTAACGGACAGGTAAGTTCCTTCTTGATATTTAGGCTGTTTCTGAAGAGTGAAAAGTTAATTACGCCTGTACACAGGCTTTCTGAAATACATCAATGATTATTCTTATCACTGGCACAGACTGAAATGAAGGATTTAGTTTTGAGGCCGTTCAAATTCGACGACAAAGGTAGAGAATTCTTCAGGTACTCGACGTACCTTTGCAAAGAAGAGAGAACCGTTCTTGTGGTAGAAGACTTCAGGCACGTTGTAGGGGTCAAAGAGGAAACCGTCCTTCTCCCATCGGAGGTTGGTGAGCGGTGGGTTTGACAGAAAGTGGCAGTCCAGGATTCCGGAGTGTCCGTAGGGAAGATACACCTCAGAAACAGACTTCACCACCTTCGCCTTATCTGCACAAACACCGCTCAGTGTGAGGTTAGGTTAGGTTCAGCGCAACAGAGCACTTCTCTAACCCTACGGCACTCACACTGGACATTGAGGTAGGCGCTCGCCGTCTGCGTGTCCCCTTGTGAGTTTCTGACGACGCACGAAAACTCTCCAGGATCAGTCACGTCCGTCGGCAAGATGGTGAGCGAGCCGTTGTCGGTGAAGACGCGGTTGCCCAAGTCCGGGATGTTGCCCAGGACGACGCCATCTTTGTACCACGTGACAACAGCGTCCTTGTCCTTGGAGACGCACGTGAAGCGCGCGGGTTCCCCGGCGAGGATGGTCTGGTTCATCGGTGGGATTGTGAGCAGAGTGCCGCCTACGAATCGTTTTGAAGCATTCAAATTCTTTGGACATACCGTGAAATCTAAACTAGTTCCAATGGTAGAAGAGTCTACTCTGTGCAATACAGAGAGCCTCTGTCAATGCCCAATTTGTAATTATCCTCCAACAAAAGACACAGCAGATGCACCATTTTAACCTTGAATAACGTTTTTAAAATCACGGTGCACTCGACGGACACTGTACGAGGTGCGATCGAAAGGTTTCCAGACTGCGCGTATAAAAACCCGTACACTTATCTCAGGTATTAAATTCATCCATCACCCTCGAAGTAGTTCCCCTGGGAGTGAACACAACGATCCCAGCGCCGCTGCCAAGCCTGGAAGCATCCCTGGAAATCTTTCTTTGTCAGCCTGTCAAGCACCATCTGCGATTCTGCCTGAATCTCTTCTATCGTCTCAAATCTCCTTTCCTTTAGCTGAATTTTCATCTTTGGGAAGAGGAAGAAGTCACACGGAGCTTAGAAAGGAAGTTGGGGTCGGTTCTTGCAAGATCTTTGAGCTCCTGACAAACGAGAAGTCGATTCTGCTTCTGGTCCTCAGACAGGTTGCGTCGCATGTGGAGTTCTTCCTTTAGAATTAGCTGACAGGTCCCATAGCCTATCCCAGCAATGTCGCACAAGTCGTTGATGGTACGACGTCGATCTTCGTGAATGGCCTGCCGAATCTTCGTAACATTTTCGGGCGTTGTGCTCGAAGATGGTCGTCCAGAACGCTCGTCATCATGGACAGAGGTTCGGCCATTTTTAAAACATGAATGCCACATAAAAGTTTGTGAACTACCCATTGCGGACTCCCCAAATGCTTGCTTTAGCATTTCATAGGTTTCCGTAGCCGTTTTGGCGAGTCTTTGGCAAAATTTGATGCACACGCCATTCCGAAATCGCAGGAGGGTCGGTGTAATGCACTACCAAAACGCCCGTAACTAAGAAACAAATGCTAATTCGATGATGCCGGCTGGCACACTGATTCACTATCAATGTAGGCCGCACCCCCTAGCGGCAGAAGCTCGTACTACATCCGGTTCGCCCGCTATTGACACAGTCTTGAAACTTTCCGATCGCACCTCGTAAGACGTAAGGTAACTTCTTCAAACGCCAATAACTCAAGACCTACGTAAGACAGAGAATATAAACCTATATGTAAATTACAGAGTAAATAAAGGCTTTTTTCTACGTGATGTTTACTTTATTCTATAAATTGTTGAAATATTTACCTAAAACATGTGATAACTATACCCTCGTTCCTTAACTTCAACCGCTCGCCACGTCTAAAGCGTAAGAGTTAGGTCCGGACATTTTGCGAGTGAAATACGTAAATAAACACGAGATTTTTCAAATGACGTCACATTACTTTATTCTATAAATTGTTGAAATATTTACCTAAAACATGTGATAACTATACCCTCGTTCCTTAACTTCAACCGCTCGCCACGTCTAAAGCGTAAGAGTTAGGTCCGGACATTTTGCGAGTGAAATACGTAAATAAACACGAGATTTTTCAAATGACGTCACATATAGATAAGATATAAAGTTATACATTAATGTGTAAATAAAATTTTATTTCAGTTAAACAAGGAATCCGTGGTTCCACTGTCAATTCTTTTAATTATGACCGGAAATCGTGCGTGATTACCTTCCACAGACAGGTGGAACCACGTGCCATTCGGTCGTGTGCTCGGCGTCCTATTTGGGAAGAAGACGCTGCACTCGTACCAGCCCCCATCGGACTCCCTGATGTTGGTCAGGTTGATGGAGCCTTCCCCGTAGGACGACTCCGGTGACACGAGGCTGACGCGACCGGCGTATCCCTCCGTGGCCTGCAGGCCACCGTCGTAAGACGAGAAGACGAGGGTGCCCTAAACCACACTTCATTCTTAAAGTTTGTGTGTGAGTAGGACAGGAATTATGAAACGAGCAGCTCTTAAAATGGACCCAATGAGTCTGTACCTTACCTCCAGCCTGAAGATGGAAACTGAGCAAAGACGAACGGAGTAACTCCAAATAGCAAATCATTTAAGCGCAATCCAGGATCGTCAGAACTGAATCACACCCGGGACGGTCCAACCGCGTTCGATCGCCCTCGTATCCCACAATTGACAACGCACAGACACCGAGAAGAATTAAATAATTACATCTCTATGATCAAACACTATTAGCGCGTGATTTGTAACAGGACGTCAGAATGTTTGTGCGCAATGCAGAACGTTGTATTTGCTCATGAACCTGACACAGTCACGTCATTAATGAGGTCTTTTGTGCGCCGGTACAACTGCTGTCTTCCTGTCCACAACACGCAAATAGTTACATCCTGTTATTCACGATGTGAGCTCTTTGGTTTAAAAAAAAAATTCCCACAAATCCTCGACTCACTGCGTGCCTTCTGGATTCAATGCCTGTTCATTTGATCGAGTTTCCGACCTCAAAACTAAAACCACGGGCTGAATACAAACGTCAAACTTGGCGTCCATCTTGTTTACCGCCTCTGTGACGCGCTCTGGACAGGAAGTGATCGACTGTGTGTGATCCGGGGGCAAAACCAAAAATGAAAAGAAAATTACGCAGTGTACGTGAGTTAATACCGAATGAACCCACTCCTGAACACAAGTCTTCTAGCCTTTTCGCTCTGTCTCAGTTTACGCTGAACAAGCAGATGACGTCATGTGCCCACGTCCGCCAACTTCACGGGGATTACACAATAAAAATTCCCGACATCACAAAAGACCGCAATGAAATTCGTATTATGTTAACTGCATTGGATCATAGAACCAGAGATCATTGAACTAACACGCGCACTTCTGCAAGCTGGCCAATTTGCGTGACGGAGATCACGCCTCCACCGCCACGCCTACGCCCTACGAGCGGTCCCATCCGGGACTTGGGTTAAGTGTGCAGATGCACCAGATTCAAACTTCAATAAATGTCAAAGTATTGGTATTCTGGACTGTAATGCCAATATTGTTGGTGCTACCCTACAGATGGAGGCGACACGTTCCTTGGAAAAGCTGCAAGGCAAAAAGATGTCTAAACCCATATGAAAATACTCGGGGGAAATCGAAACCACGAGGCACGTCGGTTGGTACACACCTCCTTGTTCCAGCGCAGAATGTAGGGAATCACGTAGTCGTGAGGGAAATCCAGGGGGCAGTTAAACACGACGTGCTCCCCCACTCTGGCCAACAGCATGGTCGCCTGCTTATCCTCCTCTAGCAGCGAGGACACAGGGCCTTCAAAACAAATCACCAGTCACCAATGTGATGACGAGTCGCGAGTTCTCAAGCTCATGACGATTCTAATTACTCACCAAGAATTACAAATACCAGCTGATATCGATAAATCGATAATCGATAATCGATACATCGTGCTTGTTGGTACTGAAACACCGAGGTTAATTTTTTTTTTTTTGGGCTGAAATTCTGATTAAACAAGCAAAGCGAAATGTTTCAACCTATCCACATGCAGGGTAACAGCTTCAACACTCACCTGCCCGAACTAAAAACAACACAACTGCGAGGAAAAGGGCGTGTCTGCTCCCCGATGACGCATTCATGTTGATTGGTAAATTTAATTAGCGCTGGTACACAATTACATAAGAAGACTCAGCTTTCCTGCAAACAAAATGGAAGATTAATTCAATTCTGCGAGCTGTTCTAGAAAGAATCGAACATCACTAATTCACGCCGTGACTGGAGGATAAAATTTAAAAAGTTACGAACACGCGCACGAGCGTCTCCGCCGTTACTACCGATCATCGTTAAAAACAAAACAACATCGACATTCCGCAGCGTTGGGAGAGAACGCGAGACACATTTTTCTTTCGTGCGACGAAATGACTGCGAAAGTTCGTGGGGGCTGTTACGAAATTATAATTTCCGCTGCTGGTGTTCGTATGGAATTAGAAAATTATGTGCGACGTAAGAAACAGGGGCAGACGGAGCCATTTCTCTCTGTTAGGTTAGGTTAGGTTAGGTTAGGTTAGTTTAGGTTAGGTTAGTTTAGTTTAGGTTAGGTTAGGTTAGTTTAGGTTACGTTACGTTAGTTTAGGTTAGGTTAGGTTACGTTACGTTACGTTAGGTTAGGTTAGGTTTTCTTCACATTATGAACCTAAAATGTTGGGGCCCGAAAGCCGAGTACTAACACGGTTTAAAGTCAGTTACACTGCGTATTTCTTCAGTGTTTGAAAGGACACTTAATTTCTGCCTGAAACTGTTAACAGGGTCCAGGGATGTCTGTAGTTCACGTACATAATCACGATGTAAATTGGCGAAAAAACAAAACAATAATAATCCACGAATGTTACTAGAACCTTGATTTACAGTGAACTGATTTGTAAACACCAGCAACTGATAAATCGTCGTTAAATAACCTATATATCCTACCATATCAGCATTTCAAACAGCGGTCATCTGCCCTTGCAAGCTTCGTCATTACTCACGAGTGTCCAATTAGACCAACGAGACTTCATTCTTTCCATTAAGATTAAGGGCTCGTACGGACTGAAATTATTTGTAAAATATCCATCGTCCGTTGTCAGTTTTTGACAATCTTCGGAAATCTCGTTTCAGAGGATCGACAGGAGACATTCGCTGTGTCGGATTCGGAGCTCCACAGATCGAGATCTATCGGACGCAACAGATTAAGTGTCTTCCCAAACACGAAGAAGATTTCCGACGGTTGTCAAAGACTGACGACGTGGCCTCGTTACCTTGTCCTGATGCGTCGGTTGTCTGCGACTGGCACAACTTCACGACGGGCCTCGGACCTTCTCCGTACTCCAACATCACAGCCAGCGTCGAGGAACGCGGATTAAAGCCGAGCGAGAAACCAACTACGATCTGCCTTGCGCACAAATGGCGACCTCTGGGCAGCCTTCAGTGAAAAACGAGCGGGCCGAGGGGGGCGGGGGCGGGGGAGAGAGAGAGTTAAGTGACGGCCGGACACTGGATGGGCAGACGATCGCAGTGCTTGAACGGAGGAAATGAGAAGCTATTGTTCTCGCAACATGAAAAAGATTTCTCTGCGTGCGCAGACTCCGAAATATTTTAACCCAACTCACAGATGTTTACTGTTCACAGAGGCTACTTGCAGGATTACATAAAAATCATTGTGGCCGGCGTCCTGAGACACAAGGCAGTCGTGAACAACCGACAAGGGGTGGTTCCAGCCCGGATACTGAGAACTCCTTGGAACATGGACGAATTATTTGTCAGAGGTGGTGGAAAAACGTGGGATGAATCGATCTTCGAGAACGTAGCTTCGTGTAGCCTGGTAGAAATTTACCAGCGTTTCTGATGTCCTTGCTGCCTCCATCATCAGGGCGCTACACGGCCGTGAGAACCTGAAATTCCACTTGGATTCATCTGGCTCAGGACAGGGAGCACTGGCGAGGTCTTGTGGATATGGCATTGAACGTTTTTGAGTTTCAATAGGGCGGGCAATTTCTTCACCGGCTGAGCGACTGTCAGTTTTATCAATAAGAATTCCGTTCCATAGAGCGAGGGACCGGACGACGAAGTGTGCAATTTCATTTCTTTCTGGAGTGGATCCAGGGTCATCTGAACGCAAAACAAGAGTTTGCGCATGCGTAGATGACAGGATAATATTAAAACTGGTCGAAAGGAAATCGAGTGTTGAGTGGATTAACGTGGCTTGGGAGTCTGGGACTGGTGAATATAATAACGAACCTTCGGGCTTCATAAGACCATCTGAGCTCACTAGCTTACTATCAGCTTCTCATGACGGAGACGCCATATTTACTCGAGGAATATTTTAATGCAGCGAAAACCTGCGTCTTATACGCACAATGCGTCGGAATTACGAACGTCAACACTTGATAATTCAGTCCTGTGTGGTCACAACTATATTCACAGTGTTTCTCTGCGCGCATTTCTTGTCTCCCTCCACAGAAATACACGTTCTTCTGTTTGTGCAAGTGGGGCCCTGGGGCACTGATTTGTACACCCCTGAGCACCAACGCGTTGCGTACGCCATTGGACCACGAGGCGTCAATTTATTTCAATGAACACTCACGCCACTACAAGACGACGGCCTGCAACGACACTAAGTGCCTCGATTCGCAAAACGCTTCGTTTTTGTCTGAGTCACTGGCGAACCAAACACGAGGGACGACAAGACAGAGAAACGTGCCGCCTCCACTTTCAGGATAGACGGGAAGATTGCTCGGCGCCACTTCTCACTGTTCAACTCAGAAGCTGACAGTCGCTCAGATGGTTAAGAAATTACCTCGCATTTCATGGAACCCGAAGGTTCATTGCCGTGTTGACTACAGCCCGCCACATAAATTCAATCCCCCCAACCCTATTTCCGAAAGATCCATTTTAATATTATCTTCCTTTCTATACTTACGTCTTCCAAAACTTCGTACTCATTTCTGAGCCACCTTCATCCACTCATTCCAAGCTCCGAAGATATTTAAAATGTAATTGCAGGGGAAGTCAAACTTGGGGGGGGGTTGGGCGTGGGGGCTGAAAACTCCCCCCCCCGGTATAAAAAAAGCAGCGTGTTACGAAATGTAACTCGGAGCCCCGGAGTTCGGGAAATTGTTGATGGCCGGATGACAAAATCGGAGCGAACTGCGTCACGTCTACTTAAGTGACCGACGGTCCTGTCCGTCTCTGACCAATCCGCTGACAGCTTAAACGACCGAGTGAGTAATCAGCCACGACGCTAAATGAACTCGATGTAGGCAGATGACTGAGCCACGAAGTGACCCCACGCCCACGCCCACGCCCAGCACCTGAAACCACTTCCTCCAGAGAAATGCATGAAAACGTCGCCACTGACGGTCAGGGATTTGCGATGTTCATGTTGGTATTCTGGTTTCGAGGAAGCATACCGCTTCCATCTTCAGGGCGTTACATCACATCCTCACCGCTGAGAGAACACTCGGTGGATGGTTTCCGATAGAAAATGAAGCTTTGTCGTCCATCGCCACTTTCGGTTGTGAGTTACTGGGTTTTATTCAGCTGCTCACATAAATATTCGTACAGGGATTTTCCTCATTAGCCGACATCTCATAAGGAAGAAGCCATTTTGAACTCAAAAGTTAGTCCCTCCGAAATATCATCACCGAAATATATCAACCATCTACTTCTTCTCTACACAGAGGGCGTCTTCCCTTCCTTAACGTCGTTCAGTTTCGAAATACCAGCGAGTTCAGGCGACGAGGGCGGTTCATTATTTTAACATATCAACAAATTCTTATAATTTACGTATTTGATCGTGCGTTCCAGTGTTATGACTGGCGTTAAAGCATAAAGCAAATAAAACATGTGATCATAATCAAATTAAATTAATTTATTTAATAATAATTACGATAACAGCAAAGAAATTATCCACCGAGCAAATACAAACACCAGACATGACCCTCTGATGTATCTTACGCCTCCAAATCACGTGATTTGGTTAACAAACTAACCAAAATAAAAGCTAATGAGCCACGAGGGTGTACGTGATCAGAAATAAAGTCAAAGATCTCCCTGTGCCTAAGCCCCATAAATGGGCATGGGAGTAGC